CATATCTACATCTACAGTTACATTTGCGTATATAGACTACTCGACGAGCTTCCGACGCTTCACGCGTTTCGCAGCTGTCCCCTCCTCTCCCATCACCTCCTCGTTCTCGGGGGCTCCGCGTTTCCCAGCTACATCAGCAGTGTTTTAGCACAGTAATCCCAGACAGACCGTGTAAACTTACCGGCCCCGACATCGGAAGCCTCTGCATCCCCATCTGTACGACCCCGCGAAGTCCTCGTGCGCGCACGACTTGGCGGGGTGCGCGCATGGCTTGCTCGAGTGCGCGTAGTACTTGACGCACTGGTGGATCCCTTCGACACAACCGGAAGACCGTGCTTCTGCATGTAAGTGGTCAGTGTCCATTGTCGGTACATATACACATGCCAAACTCACCTTGAAAGAGCACCCCTTGCGTGCGTCGATGCACGCGACGCAGCGCGGGTCCTCATAGTCCCTCTTCGGGACGCGGCAATCGACTAAGCCTCTGTCCAGGCAGCGCAAGCAGCAGTCCTTGCCGTAGAACTACGATGCGTGCAGGTACGTCACTGTCAACAGCGAGTACACTGACAGACTTACCACGGTGTCGAGCGATTTCGGTGGAAGGTCCTTCGGCCTCTTGTACTTGTTCAGCGGAATTGGGTCGCTCATTGCGGCCGGTGCGTGACCCTTGGCCTTCATCGCGAGGTAGATACCGCGTCTCTGCATCGCCTTCTTGCGGTCCTCGTCCGTGACGCGCCCACGGTCGATCTCATACATCATCGTCGGGGCGTCGGTGTCCTCGAACTCCTGGACAGGGGTCCCAGCTGCAGACGCACACATGGTCAGAGCAGGCAGTTGGGCACATTGTGCCAGACTTACAGTACAAGTGGTCATTGTCTGAGACGTGCACGCAGTGAGCTTGAAGGTCACACACGTACAAGACGAAGTACTCACGCAGCCAGATCTCTGCAAATGCCTGCATTCCGGCGTCCTCCTCCTCCTTCGGCGTCCTGATGTCCCACTCCTTCACCTGGCACTGCCGCCATTCGGACAGGAACGTCTCCAATGAGAGACCTTCCTTCCACGCTCCCTCCGCCGGCTCGTCCCAATACTGCCAGGCGAAGCACTCGTCAAGGACGCGAGGGAAGAGAATGCCCTTGGGGACGTAGTTGAGGGAATGCCGCCATCTCTCGTCCTAGCATGGCATGTGCCGTCACCGTCCCCGCATCCCGTCGTGAGCAGCAACGGTACTCACCAGTAGATACCACTTGAGTATCTCGTCCAACGCCTCATAGGAGACCGGGCTGTTGAGCAGCGCACGGATCGTCCTGTTCATCCGCTCCACCATCTCCTCCGTCCATTCATGCCGCTCCGGGGGCTGGTCCGTGAATTCGAGCGGACCGCGCTCTTCGATGTCGAGCTGTGCCTCAGTAGCCGCCTCGCGTAGGTATTGCTTCACGTCTTCGAGGGTCCAGGTACCCACCATCGTGTCGAGGGACAGGCAAGTGTACGAGTAAGCGAGCAGGGGAGGAAACAGATGAGGGAGTGGAAGAAGGGAGTGGAAGAGAGTGAGAGAGTGAGTCCGCGCGCTCGCAGCCACAAGTCACCTGGCGTCTACTAAGTCCAGTGGCGGGTGGCTGGTGAGATCGACGCGACGTGCAGAGCACAAGTCAGCTGACCGTATGTGCTATGCGCGCGCTGGACTCTGACTCTGGAGACAGATGGGAATGTCAGTGACTGTTGCGCAGGTGGGTACCAACTGGCTGCAGTGCCCTTTGCAGTGGTGCGTGCTGCCTTGCGGTGGGTGAGTATGAGCACTGACCTCAAGTGACTGTCAAGGTGCACACCACGGCTGCGTTGCGGTGATTATCGCACGGGTTTGTACTCACTTTGGGTGAACTGTGGTGCGGTACGTCGACTTACCTGATGTAGCCGCACTTGACTGGTGTGTGTGGTGCGCGCACCTCCAGAAGTGAGTCGGCGTACCTTCAGTTAAAATACCTACTGCGCGCATATGTAAGTGGTCAGTGCGCGCACTACTGATTTCGAGTGCGCATACATTCTGTTGACTTACCTTTCATTCTATGTTGGAAAATTCATAGCACCGCGCGCATACACATTCACTACGTATGTACTACATGACACGAGTTCATCTGTACCTGCTTAGTGTCAATGTGTAATTGGTAAATTCCACGGTGCTTACCCCTGTTCGTACTGCTCGATCTGCGCACGGAACCACTGCATGCGGTCCGAAAGAAGGTCGATGCCCTGTGCTCGCGCCAACGCCGAAGGCCCGCCTTCCCGCAAAAACCGTTCGTTGAGCTGGGCCATCGTCGTGCGCTCCAACTGAAGGTGGCGATAAACGTATTCGCAATGAAGGGCCTGGCGTGCCAGCCAAACCCGACGAGCTGTGTTGTCGTTCACGAGATTTCGTGGCTCGGGCATCAGCATGGGCTTGCGTGCTGCTGACTGTGTTTCCCAGAAATCGATTTCCTCGGGATGCGCGAGGAGCAAAGTGAGTTGTCCAATGCTGAGAGTGTATGGACCGTCCGGAAGGGCTCGATCACTTGGGAGGTCGATTTCTAGCCAGATGGGTGGCCTCCGCTCAGAGCGGAGGTCGAGATTCTCTGTGGTTATTCAGACAGACAACAACCGGAGTGAGGGAGATGCGCGCACCGTGGATCATGATCAATAGTGACCGGAGATGGCGGAGCCAGCGGTCAACCCAGACATGAATGTCTTCGTCCATTTCAATCTCGCGATCAATGCGCCATTGCCGCTCATGTATAAGAATGGCAATGTGCGCGCAGATGCGCTCAAAGAACTCGTGTTCGTTTGTGTGATTTATGTGGCCGTAGGGGATGAACCACCGAGCCTCTGGTTGCACAAACCGACCAGAATAGTCAAGCAAGGTCCTCTTTTCGTCTGTAGCGACATTGAGGTGGATTGCCTCCTGTGTATGATGGTTCCAGAGGATCCGCTTGATGGGTGGATCAGGCCACAGAGTGCCCGCTTTGACTGTACCAGCGGACAGTGAGCAGATTATAATATACCGATGCTGTGACACCTACTGTTGTTGTTCAAGATTTCTGTGTAGTGAGTCAGCTTTGTGAGAGCAGTTTGATCGTTGTAAAGATAACGTACTATGCCAGTAATCGACCGTCTCCCGCACCAAGTGCATGAGACTGACAGTTGACATGGCAATGTACTGCCATTCTCGGCGATTGTGGGTGTGGATGGGGAACGATGTGCGTGAGAATCCCCAGTACCTGTACAACGGAGTGATGAAGTTTGCTAATGCGATCATGACTGCCTCGAGCCGATCGATTTCCGATTGCATGTAGAGTACGTTCAGGACTCGGGGATCAGAGGTCGTACGGACACGTATGATGCGAAGCCATTCCCCCATGTGCTTGCACCATCTCTCATACGCCTCTTCGATAGTGATTGGGCCATAAGCCGGACCAAGAGGGCCGAGCTCGTGGAAAAAAACCTGCGTGTGTACGGGGATGAGCCGGGTCAGTGCAGCAGCGTGCAGAATCACACGCGTGCGGTCTGACCAAGCTGGACGGTCCATGTTCACCCAGCTACACTGCTGTAGTACTCAGTGCTATGTACATACCGACCAGTGACGGCCAGCGACTCACCTATGAATTGCGCAGTGACAACCTGACCGTTTACTACAGCTTCTAGTGATCTCTGTTGATTACTAGCTGTCAAGGATCTGTGAGTGAATCGATTTCTGCTGAACTCGGTCAATCACTTACTTAGTATATGTTTACAACGAGCTCACCAACCACGTAAACTGCTCTTCGTTCGGCTCAGTAAGCGGCGCTATACATAAGCTCACCCCGCCCAAATTAAGCCCAAATGCTGTATTGAGACGTGGACGCGATCCCGTGACAGCGCCCGCGCGCTCGGAGTTGTGCGGGCGGCCGGGCGCCGATCAGCAGAACTGCAGATTCGTCTGAGGCTATCTGAAATGGTCTGGTACTAACTTACTCGTCAGACATTCAGACCCATCAGACTTTGCGTTTGAGAACGGGAGATCAGTTCAGAGCTAATCTCTGATGTCAGACAGCCTTCAGGCCAACCTCACACGCCATCTCAGATGGTCGTCAGAATGCTGCTCACAGAACGTAGTACTAGTACAGTACACAGTACTAGTAGACTACCAGCTAGTACTCCCACAAACCCACCCTCCCTTCGCTACTACTACTGTGCTTGCTGTGTCCGACAACGCCCCGCTCACCGGGCGTCCAGTTATTATCGTGGGAGGGTGCGCGGAAATGTGTGGAGGTGCGCGATCGCGCGCGTTCACACACTTAGCGCCTATTCAATCATATGGGTACATACACTATTGTGAAGGTGCGCGATCACGCACCTCCACACATTTCCGCGCACCATCGGTCCCTGCGCGCACCCTCCCAGCAGGGGCTGCATGTGGAGATGCGCGATCGCGCGTGTCCATATATAGTGATATATGTCAGCATACATTCACCTCCATGTATATAGTGACTTGCATGTCCAAGATGTGGAGGTGCGCAATCACGCGTCACCCCACATTTAGTAGATTCTACGATTAATGCCGTGCACGTGACTTAGCTGTGAAGGTGCGCAATCGCGCGCCTCCCCACATTTAGTAGATTCTACGGTTCATGTCGTGCACGTGACTAAGTTGTGAAGGTGCGCAATTGCGCGTCTCCACACCTCTCGTGATCTCTGCAGCTAATGTGGTATGCATGTACAGTCTGTGGATGCGCGCGGGCGCGCACCTTCACACTCAAGTAATTTAAATGTTCACACTTTCCTTATATAGAAATTTCCTTATATAGAAATTTCTATATAGGGTAATCAGAGGGTACTCTGTGCTCCAATTTCCTACAGAAACACCCTATAATGCATGCCTCTCTTGGCCAGCAGTCACGTGGTGGTAAGCGGAGTTTGAATACAGGGTATGATCAGTAAATTAACCCGCCCACAGGACATTCAAGTGGTGGAGAGTGTTCTGTTGTTATACGATGATCGAACACCTGAAGAAGAGTCCCAACGCCGTCCGGGCGAGGGACGAGTCACTCCAGCTCGGCGTTGTCCTTACACACATGCTCAACGGATGCCTCTACCGCAACACCACAAAGACACCATATCCACAGCTAGAGGCTGACGTCGCCATGCACCAGGCCGAGGATCTCATGTCTGAGCATGACGTCGATGTCTACGACGACGAACGATACGACTGGTCGCCCGTGGGTGACAAGCAAGGCCTGTTCCTCCTGGGCATATTGTCAGCGACCACGGGAGCTATCTCACGGACAGGCGCCGTGTGCTCGACGGCGACATGTTGGCGCTCGCATACAAGGCCGAGGACATGCCCACCCTCCGTGGTTTGTTCGGCCAGACGGGGATCCGGGTAGTCCCATCCAAACGGAATCCGTACCGAGTCCCCAATCGCCAAACGCAGACGAGCTCGACGATCAATCACCGCACCGAACCCGTGCCTGAGCGCAATCTCGGACTGGCGGACCGGGCATCCGGATCGACATCGCAGAGCCGAGAAGGGAGGCCATCGATCGCGAGGAGAACGAGGACGAGCGCCTCCGTTAAACGCGGATCAACGGGTGTCCCGTTGTGGGAGCAATTCAAGTGTGATCTCCTGCAGAAGGCCCCGTCTCCGAAGGGAAGACAGCATCGATCGTTCCTGACGGTCACAGCGATCGAGAAGGTGAACGCACCCGACAGGCTGTTCAAGTCGCCGGTTTTGCCGTTCACGCAGTGCCGCGTCAATCACGTGGACGGAACATTCTGGACGGGCATAATGTTCGACCGGTATTTCCCGCCGACACACACCACCATCAACCATTCGCTGCAGAACTACGTGCAGTGTACGTACTGGAAACAGTGGTCGGCGCTCTGGCTAAGCACGACGAGGTGGACATCCCCGCGCTCCGCGCGCGCTGCTGGGGCTGTTCAACCAAATGCTCTGGCTGCCGCAGCCTGAGAATGACCGGATCTGGAATACGCGTCAGGCCGGCGCCTCATCGGCAAAAGCCGTGCCCACCGGGAGCCGAGGCCCGGCTCCCATTCTAGCCGTAAATCCGTTAGTCTACAAGGGCGAGCGCTGGGTGATCCGGAGTGTGCGTCCGGAGGAGATGAACCCCGAGGAGGAAGGCCGGCAATCACCTGTGTATGACGTGCCTTTCGAGATGTCATCAGACGAAGAACAAGCGGACAGGGAGCAGGCGGCGAGGGATGAGAGGATTAGGCGTCGCGAGGAAGAGGAGGAGTCGTCGGAATGAGCAACAGTCCATAGTATGTACTCTACCTCAATGTAGAAAGCGACATATAGACGGTGCGACGTATACGGTGTGGTGACAACGCCAGTCCAGTGAGCCGATGGCGCACCCCGCGCAAGGGATGAACCAGCCGTCAAGCAACAGAAAGCGTGGGCGAGGCCACCCCTCGCGAGCGAGGTTGCGCTCAGTGCGCCGAAGGCGCACTGGGGCGAGGGCGCGCGGCGGTGCACGTGCCCGGTGGGCTGGCGTGGCCTGCCCGCGGGGGTGCGCCGAAGGCGCACCGAGGGCGAGGTGCATGGGCGTGGCACCGCGCGGTGGCAGGCCCCGCCGCGGTGCGTCAACGGCGCACCCACCGCTCCGTGCCCGCCCAGCCTACCCAAAGCGGTATGCCCCATCCGCGCTCCAGACCCCAGCGGGATCAAGATCAGCGCGATCGCCGGCTAACCGCGCTGATCCTCCCGGCCTATCCGCAGCGAGCGCTTAATGAAAATTTGCTCGCCCACGCCGCGGTGCGCCGTCGGCGCACTTCTCGCGAGCAGCCCGTCCAATCCCATCACGCGCCACAGTGTCCCCGGGCGCTGATCGTCTCGGTTAACGCTTATCTGGATCTAAGATCCCCGTTGGCCGACATTTGATGGGACTGCTGTGGGCTATAAAGCCCCTCACAACCGTCCCTTGCCCCCACTTTACTCTCTCCTGTACCGCCACCCCTGCTTCCTCGCTCCCGCTTTCGCAATGGGCGTCTGGACGCCCCAACACAACATCTTCGACCTAATGGTCAGCCAACCGGATCTGGTGAGTTGCGGCGCGTGGGAGGTGCTGACGCGCAAGGAGAACACCGGCCTGCCGTGGGACGAGAGTGCCGGGCCGAAGTCCGTCCCGAGTTCCTGGATGGCGCACGACGGCGCCCTGCTGAAGAAGGTCCTCGCGTTCGTGTCGAGGTACCGGGCCATCGAGGGCGCGACCGCCCGCCAAGCGTGCCTCAAGATCAAGAAGGACAAGGACTCGGAGGGTCGCGACGCCGTCCTCGGATGGCTTACGGAGGCCGTGAAGGAGTGGCAGATCCGCGCGCGGACGCTGCAGGTGCTCGAGACCGTCGAGCTGGGGCCGTATCAAACGATGCGGAACATGGAGACGATGACGGTGAGCACCGTCACAGTCGTCCAACTCCGGTACTGACGCCACGCCCAGCTCCCCAACGTCAAGGAGTGCAACCTCGCCAGTGCGACGCTCCCGGTCGTGCTCGAGCTCCTGGCGGTGGGGCGACTTTCAGGGCCGCGACGCCGAAGCCGTGGGCCACGAAGTACGTGGGGCGGATCTTCCCGCACCTGTGGCATTCGGAGGGTAAGCGGATCGGCGACGAGGTCAAGAAGATCGACAAGTGGGTCGCCGGGATGGAGAACGACTGGGCGGTGAGTGCGCGCGTTGTGCAATGCGTGCCGCGTTAACCCTCGGTGCAGAGATCCTCAAGAAGGACAGCAAGACGATCAAGGGCGCGATGACCAGGTATTTCAAGCAGGTCTCGACGCACCTCGAGGCGGCGAGGAACCTCGACAACGTCGCCGCCGTCGAGAAGTTCAAGACGCACCTGGAGAACGTCCAGAAGGTGCGCGACCAGATGAAGGACCGCTCGAAGGCGGTACCCGGTACGTCTCCCTCATCGCCTCTCCGACGACCTCTGACCTCGTTGCAGGGCTGCCCAAGTCGGTCGTCGAGGCGCTCCAGCAGCTCGCCGACGCAAAGGAGGTCGACCAGCTCAACTTCGAGCTGGAGCGCCTCCTCGAGCAGATCGAGGACGAGGACGACGCGGAGGTGCACATCGGCCTGCACAACCTGGACGACTTCGCGTGGGGCACCGGCGTCGAGGAGTACGAGAAGTGCACCCCCGACGAGCTCTGGGCGATGCTCGGCCGGAGCGCCGACAAGAGCATCCCCTTCTTCAACCTCGTCGAGTCGACGATCGGCGTGCACGACCCGTGGTCCCCGGAGGGCATCAAGGCGCTCGAGGGCAAGGACACCATCCCGCTGGCGCCCCGCTGGCACCAGCTCGTCGGCATCGTCAAGATGCTCGACAACGTGCTGGCCGGCAAGCCGACCCTCCTCATGGACGGCGTCGGCGTCGGCAAGACATGCAGGTCGTCGGCCTCATCTGCATGATGGCGCACTTCCGGATGCACTACGCGTCCCACGGCCACTTCCCGGGCAAGTACAGTAAGTCACGTTTCTATGCGCGGTGAAGATAGCTACTTACCTTCTTCACAGAGAACGTCAAGTTCCCGGGCTCCGACGACGGCAACTTCCTCGACGCCCCCGCCTCATCGTCGTGCCCGTCTCGCTCGAGACCCAGGTGCGGCTCGAATCCACCGGTACGTGTCGCGAAGTCGTTCGACCTGATGTCGTACACCGCCCTCGTCCGCGGCAACCGGGCGGAGCAGTTCTGGGCGGCGGTCAACGCCTTCAAGCAGCCGAAGAGTCGGCAGATCGTCCTCTCGACGGTGCCGGTAAGTACACGCCCTCTCATCCATTCCTCGCTCACAATACTTGCGTAGGCGGTGTCGAAGGACAGCACCGAGGTGTTCATGCTCCCGCCTGGCGAGCCGTGGCACGCCGGATCGGAATCCCCCGCCCCGCCCGCGAGGCTGCCGCCATCAAGGCGAAGTCGGTTTCAGCCGCAACTGGGGGCTCGTCATCGTGGACGAGATCCACGAGATGCGCAAGCCGAATGCGGCCTTCCGCGCGGTGCGGAATCTTCGGGAGCACGCGGGCTCCATGGTAGGACTGTCGGCGACGCCGACGATCACCAGCGCGATGGTAAGTCCCACTCTCCGGATTGTAACCAAGCTCACCGTCGCTGCACAGGACCTCGTCTCCATCGGTCGCCTGATGGGCCTCCCCCGATTCGGCGACGAGTACAAGGAGGAGCTCGCCGGTCACGGACGGCTCCTGACGCGCGCGCAGACCAAGGACCGGGCGGAGCGGCGCGACAACAGGACCCTCCGGCGCGTCACCGCCGCCAAGGAGAGCAAGGACGGGGAGCCGTCGACGTGGAGCTCGGCCACGGCGGCGGAGACCATCACCATCATGGCCGACTACCGGAAGCGGTGGGCGGGCATGGTCATCCGTCGGACGGTGACGTCCACGGACTGGCAGGGGAACGTTGTCAGTGGCTTGCCGCCCTGCAACGACATCTCCATCATGCTCCGGCTCGCCCCGTACGAGCGCAAGGTGGTCCAGTCGATCCAGGCTGAGGTCGGCCAGGACGCGAAGGGGAAAAAGGCCGCGGTGACGGACAAGGTGAGCAAATAACCACTTGCTCGAGTATGGGGGTCGGGTGCGCCGAAGGCGCACCCCGCGCGGGGCTGCTGAGAGGTCCGGTTGGAACACCGTAACCTCTCATCAGTGCCCTCGTCGAGTGCGCCGTTGGCGCACCGCAGCGCAGGGTGCGCTGGCCAGCCACCCATGAGCCACCTTGGGCGGTTCGCTGGCGTACAGCTGCAGTGAGCCAACGGCGCACCCCTCGCGCACGCGCGGGTCTCACAGGCCGGCCCTGCTGCGGTGCGCCAAAGGCTCACTGCCCGCCAGTGGATCAGTCCTGTGTGGCACCCGCGGACCCCTCGCGTCGCGGTGCGCCAATGGCGCACTGGACGACCGTGCCTTCTGACGGCCACTGTCATCATTTTCCTTCCCCCTCGCGCGGGTGCGCCGATGGCGCACCTCTCGCCAGTGTTTCTCAGTGGCTCACCATTTTCACAGAACTTCTACGTGGACATTCGCCGGACGATGTTCCACTTCTCGATGGCCCGGCACCCCCCGCCCGACGCGAAGATCCCGGTCACGCGCGAGGACTTCGAGGCCATCCCGACGGCCAAGCTCATGGCCCTCGTCGACCTGCTCGAGAACCACAGCAAGCCGAAGGCCCCCCCGATGCGGAACGACCCGGAGCTCGATGGCGTCCCCCTCTCCAAGCTCCCCGAGTTCCCGGACTCCAACCGCCTGGTCCCCGACAAGGACTACGTGTACGTCTCGTACTCGGGGGACGAGCCGACAAGATCGTCATTTATTCGACGTTCCCGTCGAATAACATCGTGCTCGAGAACGTAAGTCTTCTTTTTGTAATCCCTCAATCCTTCTCTCACCTGTCTTAGTTGTTCGCGGCCTACGGCTTCAAGGCCGTCTTCATCCACGGCTCGCTGTCCGCCAAGCAGCGCGCCGAAGAGGTCGAGAAGTTCCGGAAGTCGACTTGGGGTGGCAAAACCATCCTCGTCATGTCTGGCGTCGGCGCGACGGGGCTCAACATCGCGTGGGCCAACGTGATCATCTTCCTGGTGCGTTTTCTTTTTCTTCCCCTCCAGGCTTCACTCATCCGGTGCCAGGACACCACGTGGTCGGCGCAGTCCGACGAGCAGGCGATCGGGCGGATCCACCGCTTCGGGCAGATGCGCGACGTCTTCGTCTACCGCATCGTCGTCACCGAGTCGGTGGACGTCGCCTCAACAACATCGCCTGGGACAAGGGCGTGATGCACATCGCGTTCATCACCCCGGGCTTCGACCTGGTAAGTACCACATCTCTTTTGAAATCCACTCTGACTCTTGATTCAGCGAGCTCGAGGCAGCGGATGCTCGGCGCGGCGGTCCTCGACCTGCTCGACTTGGAGGCTGCCGAGGACAACGAGTACGTCAAGTCCGACGTCGAGGAGGAGGTCGACGAGGAGGACGACGAGGACGACGAGCCGGCCCCGAAGCGCAAGGGCAAGGGCAAGGAGAGGGCGGTCGAGAAGAAGACTCCCGCCCCCAAGAAGCCCTCCAAGAAGGCCGCCGGCGAGGGCTCTGCGCCGAAGAAGGCGTCCAAGAAGACCGCCGGCGAAGCTCTGCGCCGAAGAAGGCGAGCAAGTCCACGGCCGACCAGGAGGCGTCGACCTCGAAGCAGCCCGCGGCGGAGTCGACGGACGCGGCGCCCAAGCGCCCTCGCCCCAAGCCGAGGATGAGGAAGGCGGTCCCCGA